TTTTAAGTCTTTTCATTGAATGTCACTATTGCCTGGGAAGCAAGTGAAGAGGAAGAACGCTAACCCTTCTCAACCTCAAGCCATAGTAAGTACAGAAGCCAGTTCTTGTACTGTAGAAATAAAAGCATGGATACAACTGCTAAAAGTGTACATAATAGCACACATGGTCCAACCCTCTGACAACTCAGGATTAGTTCTTGGTTTGGCTTTGGGTTTTTTAAAATTATGCAAGTAAACCTGTTCCTCTCCAGTAAAGGAAAACCAATTAATCAAACTGAATTTACTTTGCATTTTCACATGTAAAATTAGAAAGCCACGGAGAACATGTTGCTGCTAAAACCACTGGTGTTCCTGGGTGTGCCTTCACCCACCATACTGCATGCAGATAAAGATCTCTGCAAGGACTGCAAACAAGCACCAGGGATATGCAGAGCTTAACAAGGCCCTCGGGTCTGAAAAGGAAGAAGCTGAAGTCTCTGGTAATTACACAACTATGGTACCAGCAGGATAGTGACAAACATTCAGCGAGACACCTGGGAGGATGATCTGCAGGTAAACAACAAGCAGTGCAAGCAAATTACCTCAACATCTGCAGATTTTAGCAGGAGGTCTCTAAGTGGACTGTAATAGTCTGAGGAAAAAACATGGTCCTCAGTGTAAACCACATTTAACCTTAAGGAACCGAGGTCATCAGGTTTCAATGACTTGTTACCATTATCTCTGGGCTGCAGGAAATACCTGATATGCAAAAAATAAGAAAGTTTGTGCTGAAACACAAGGTTATCTCAGGCTGTACATGAACATATATACAATGTACAGATACACACAATATTTATAAATCTATCAAATTCTTTAAAGTTCTCAATCAGACTTTTAAATTAAGTTTGCCAGTCTATTTTGCACTAACAGGAACATGGGAAGTTCTGACTGTAACAATTCATGTAGAAATGATTAAAACCCTACACACTAAAACTACGGCACTGCTGATGAACTGCAGTAAATAATACCATAAAGCCAACATATTAGAACTCCCACATGCAATACAGAGGCAGACTGAAATCCCTAATCACATCATCAGAACTTCTTGTTCTTATATTTGGTAAGATTACTTTGGCTTGCTTACAAAAAAATGATACAAATTAAATCCATTTAAACTTTATCACATAGCAGTAATTACTCTTAAGTCTTCACAGCAGACATATGTTTCTACTTGTTCTCCAAAGGAAAAATGTCAAGTACCATGCTTCATAAGAACTAGACTGTCGGAGAAATTTCAAAGGGAGCCTCAGTTCTCCTAGAAACTCGTCTCCAAACTTCAAGTTACTGGCATTCCAAAGATCAACCCTGTAATAAAAACAAATAATATAAAAATATTAATAATAAATTAAAAAATTAAAA